TGCTTCTAGTATACCGGGTGCTCGGCGATGACGAGCCTTCACGTGACCTCCAAAGCTCCTAGGCCACGACGCAGCTCACCCACCTTCCTCACGCTCTCTTCCAGCCTCATCTTATCCCATTTGTCTCGCTGCATTCTTTACGGGACTCTGTTCCCTTCCTCCATCCATAAACCTGCGTTTCTCTCTTACACCCTCAACGATTCACCCTCCGTCTTCCGGCTCGATCCGCGACCCGCAGGCAGCTCTATAGCTGCACTCGACGCGATTACCCCCCATCAGATGCGCGAGACCCAGCAGCCATGACGCCTCGGTGGCTGCTGTTTATGCTGAGCCTGCTGCTGGCCGACACGTTCCAGTCAGCAGCGGCAAAGGATTACAAGCCTAATGTCTCGCCCAAGGAATTCGACGGCCCACCCGGGGCCCTGTTCTATTTTGAGGGCACCGAGACAATCGTACTCTATGAGATGAAGAAGAATGATCTCTATACGTCATTTGATGGTGGCAAGAGTTGGGGAAAGCCTGAGGAGAAAGGCATGGCCGGCGCAATCCTCACCATCTCTCCACACCCCTTCGATGACCATTGTGCCTACGCACTTGGCAAAGATGGCCAACACTGGGTCACCACCGATCAAGCAAAGACATGGCAGTCCTTTGATGCCCCAGTGCTCCCTGGACGCGAACCTCTAAATTTCAACTCTCACGATTCGAACAAGGTGATCTTCCGAGGCGAGGAGTGCCTGTTTCCCGGCCTCTGCCAGCCGATCACCTTATATACCACGGATAATTTCAAGACGAAGCCAAAACTGCTTAGGGAGAGGACCGATTGGTGCATGTGGGCGGCCAGCACGCGTGAATTTGGACAAAATGTCGACGTCCCGAGCTCCATTAAAACCCGAATCCTTTGTTTGGTCCCGCCATTGAAGCGCGGGAACGGCGAGCGCTTGGTCTACACCGACGACTTCTTCCATGACGGTGAGGGCACAGAGGTGAAACTGAAAGAGGGCCAGACTGTCAGCGGTGTCGGCGATATCGGCTCGGTCAGGAAGTATCTCGTGGCCCTGGTTCAGTCTCGGGGTACCGATGAAAAGGCCCTGTTTGTGAGCGACGACTCGGTCATGTGGCACCGGGCGGAATTCGACGGACATCGTTTGGAGGAGGACGGTTTCACGCTATTGGAGAGTACGGAATACAGTATGCAGGTTGACGTCCTTGACTCCACCAATTATGGTAGCATGGGTGTTCTGTTTACATCCAACTCCAACGGGACCTATTTTACTCGAAACATCGAGCACACCAATCGATTCGACGGATGGGTGGATTTTGAGAAAGTCGCCGACATCCAGGGCATCGTCATCGTCAATACTGTCGAAAACTGGAAGGATGTCGAAGGCTCCGAAACGAAGAAGAAGGATGTCGTCAGCAGCATCAGTTTCGATGATGGACGAACATTCCAGGATCTCAAGGTCGGCAAGGAGACGCTGCATCTCCATTCCATGACGAGTTACCGACAGCTAGGGAAAACCGTGAACCGGATCTTCTCCAGTCCCGCACCGGGCCTCGTTATGGGCGTGGGAAACACCGGCAAGCACCTTAAGAAGTACGATGATGGCGATACATTTGTCTCGGACGATGGAGGGCTCACTTGGCTAAAAGCACTCGAGGGGCCGCACCTCTATGCGTTTGGTGACCAGGGAGGAGTGATTATTGCTATCCCCGATGAGAAGACTGACAAGGTCCAGTTTTCTATCAACCATGGGAAGGACTGGGAGCATATCAAATTGGACCACAAGATTGCGCCCATCTCTTTAAAAACAACACCAGATTCTACGAGTCTGATATTTGTATTAATCGCCCTTGCGACTGACGAAGACCAACGACCTATGGTCTATTCGATTGATTTTGACGGTCTGCATGAGCGCAAGTGTGACCCAGATGACGATTTCGAAGATTGGGTGGCCCGTTTGGACGAGAATGGCGAGCCGGATTGCGTGATGGGCCAAGTTCAGACCTTCCGGCGCCGAAAATCCGATGCAGATTGTTTTGTGAAAGAACCGTTTTCGAAACAAAATGCTACATTTACGCCGTGCGAGTGTACGAAGGAAGACTTTGAATGCGATTACAACTTTGTTCGCAGTGGAGATGGAGAAAGCTGCATCCCCACTATGTCCTTGAAACCCCCGGCTGGCAAATGCAAAGATTCCAATGACAAGTACAAGGGGCCGTCCGGCTGGCGTCTGATTCCCGGGAACGGATGCAAAGGTGGCGAGGATCTGGAGGGCGAAGTTTCGCGGTCGTGTGGAAACTTCACGGATACGCCTATCCCAGACGGGGAAGTCGCATCGTACGAACAAGAGCTTCCGGCCAAGTGGAAGCAATATTTCTATCTCGAACGTCAAGCGAGTAACTCGGGGTCGGATGAGACAATCGTCATGCTCACCGAGAAAGGCGAACTTTACATCTCGCACGATCATGGCCAGAACTGGGAGCGACCCTTGAAGTCGCAGCAAATCACGCAGATCATCCGGCACCCTCATCACAACGAGGCAGCGTTCTTCCTCACAGATAGCGAGACGGTCTACTACACCTACGACCGGGGTCTATCCGAAATTAAGAAGTTTGAGGCTCCTTTGCCGCCAACAAGAGAGAATGGGTTGTTACCCCTAAGTTTCCACGAGCACAACAAGAATTGGCTTATGTGGACTGGGCATGCCGGCGGTCGCGATAGTGACAGCTACTACTCCAGCGCCTATATCAGCAAGCATCGCGGTGAGGGTGAATGGACGTTCCTTCTTGAGTCCGTCGGCCGGTGCGAATTTGTGAGCCGCGAAATTGGCAAGGAACCCAAGGAACGCATTCTTTGTGGGCAGTACGAGAATGAGAACAAGCTCAAACAAAACCAGCAACTGCTGTCCAGCGATGACGGCTTTGAAAAGGAGCCGACGGTTCTTTTCAACAATATCACTGGCTTTGCATTGATGGACGAATTCATTGTCGTCGCCTCCTTCTCCCCGAATGATCCCAAGTATTTGAACGCCAGCTCGAGTTTGGACGGCGAAATCTTCGCCCCCGCCCACTTCCCCTTCAACCTCGATGTCCCTGCGTACACGGTGCTGTCAAGCTCCACCCATGCTATTTTCCTGCATGTGACGGTCAATGAGGGCGCTGGATACGGCCCCTTGGTCAAGAGCAACAGCAACGGGACGTCTTTTGTTCTCAGCCTCAATGCGATCAACCGTGACCAAGCCGGTTATGTTGATTTCGAGCGAATGGCAGGTCTTGAGGGCGTTGCAGTGGTGAACGTCGTGGCTAACGTGGACGACGTGGAAAAGAAGGGGACGTCGAAGAAGCTCCGATCCATGATCACTCACAACGATGGTGCCGAGTGGGCGCTACTGGCACCTCCCACTAAAGACGCGGATGGCAAGAAATTCAAGTGCAGTGTGAGGGAGGGTGAGGGCACGGACGACTGCGCATTGCATCTCCATAGCTTTACGGAGCGCAGTGATCCCCGGGATACCTTCTCCTCTCCATCCGCCATCGGGATGATGATCGGCCTCGGCAACGTTGGTGACCATCTGACGGACAAAGACGAAGCGGACACATTTATTACCACGGATGGCGGAATCACCTGGAAATGCGCTAAGAAGGGCCGTTATCGGTGGGAGTACGGTGCTGCAGGCTCGGTGATTGTGCTCGTTCCAGAAGGCAAGGCAGCGACCATCGGCTATTACAGTCTGGATGAAGGCAACTCGTGGAAGGAGTTTACGTTTTCGAATGAAGACATGACCATCGACGAGATCACCACGGTTCCCTCTGATGTCTCAAGACGTTTCCTCCTTTGGGGCAAAAGCTCCAAGTCGGGCACATACAAGACCGTCAGCCTCGACTTTGACGCGCTGCGGGATCGGACGTGCGATCTGGATGAGGAAGGTGGGAAGAGTGATTATATCCTGTGGACGCCCAAGCATCCGGCCCAAGAGGATAATTGCTTGTTTGGTCATGTCGAGCAGTATCATCGTAAGGACCCCAAAGCCAATTGTTGGAACACTTGGCGCGACCCGCACGTTCATAGCATTGGGAAGAACTGCACTTGTACCCGGTCCGATTTTGAATGGTGAGATTAACATTTTGATTCTAAAAGACTTGAAGCTAATAATGTGACAGTGATTACAACTACGAGCTGCAGAAAGATGGAAGCTGCGCCTTGGTACCGGGTCTACCTAAGCCCGACCATTCGGAGCAATGCAAACAAGATGACGACTTGGTCGAGTATTGGGAACCGACAGGGTATCGACGAATCCCGTTGACGACCTGCGAGGGCGGTAAACAATATGATCAGTTCGTCTCGCATCCCTGTCCCGACAAGGAGGAGGAGTACCGGAAGAAGCACGGTATCGGCGGCGTGGGATTATTCTTTGCAATTGTGGTTCCGTTCGCCGCCGCCGCGGCAGCCGGATACTACGTCTACACACGGTGGGACGGCAAGTTCGGCCAGATCCGGTTGGGCGATGCGACATCTTCATCCCGGGGACTGTTCTCCCGCGACTCGGTGCTGATCAAAGTGCCGGTGGTGATTATTGCGGGTGTCGTGGCAGTCGCCCAGGCCCTACCTCTGCTGGTCATGAGTCTTTGGCGGAGCGGCACAGGCTACATGCGTGCGCGGAGCCGGGGCTACCAGCGGCCGTATTCCACGCGTGGATCATTTGCTGCGCGTCGGGGTGACTACACGCATGTGGTGGATGACGAAGATGAATTGCTAGGCGTGGACGAAGAGGACGAGGACGAGGCGTAGACCTCTGTTCTCTTCTGGCTATGTAGTATGGTTTGCAGGGGACTTGGGGTTTTTACTTGGGTGAATTTTGATCTGCTGATGTGACACTACGAGCCAACCATGTTCTTTTAGGTTCTTTTTTCTTTGGTTCTTCATTTTGTACGCATATCCAGAGACCGCGGCAGTCTTTAAGACACAAATAGATCGCGCTTCTTTTAAGTAACGATCCTCACCGGGGCAAATCGTTGGGTCCGAATGAACTCGGCAGAAGCTGGAGCTGTTAATAAATCTAGATAAAACGGACCATATCAAGAACATACCTCGCCCATCGTCATTACGGTGTGTTTGCCGTCGCCGTCATACATGTACACGGGGAACGAAGGCGTGGTGAATTCGCGCATACTGACAGGATGAGATGAGGTCCAATAAACACAGAGGGAGGGAGGTGAGATGGAGAGAGCAACGTACAATTGTCTGCACATTCCACAGGGCGACGCTCCAGGTTTGATATCTGTAGCGACCGCAATGGCCTTGAAGTCGCGGTGGCCCGCGACAATGGCTGTGCCGAAGGCAACACGCTCTGCGCACGTCCCGACGGGGTACGAGACGTTCTCAACGTTGGCGCCGACGATGAATTCCCCCGAGGTCGTAAGGATGCAAGCTCCGACGCGGAATTTGGAGTATTCGCCTTGGGGAGGGAGAGTTAGCGGCTGTACTGAAGGAGGGGTGAATTGTGGCAAACAAACAGTAGGCGAGCTCTTTGGCCGCAATGGCCTTGGTGGAGAGAATCTCCAGCTCTTGGGCTGTGACAGGGTTGGGAATGGGCGGCATTGCTGATTGAGGTGGGTGGGAGTGGTTTCGACGTGGAGACACGGTGAGGTTTGATATCATCCGCCCTCCGATAGCCGATGGCACCCGCTTTGGGCGATCTATATCAGGACGTATTATTGCTATCGCTGGCCTACCATTTAAGTCCTGCAGTATTGGCCAGGTGGGTTCGAGTGAGACATATTGGGTTGCTATAGGCTTAAAGATATTTAGCAAACGAATTAATTCGTCAGGGTGGTCCAGATATATATATCGATATCGGGATTCAACCAATACTCATTATTCTCCCTATTTACAACAATGTCGAATGACTCTTTAGTGCCAACCGTGCTACTATGTATAAATACCCCAAAAACCTCAAACCACTGTACAATCATTGTACTCTTGCCCCCGTGTCCCCGGAGCAAGGTCGCAGTGACATTATGCCTTATCCACAGAACCGAACCAGTCGGAGAGAACGGATGTGAACCGTATGGGATAAAAGACTTATCGCTTGATTAAGTCACTACTAGATATATTTGAAGTTTTCTAGCATAGTTTGGCCTCGACTAAGATCTTTCTATCGGTAACAACCATTAGTTTTCTTGAGGGCAAGCCATAAGGTAATCACCCTCCAAATGCATCATTACATGCCCATATCAAGTGTGTACAGAAACGCCCAGTTTAAGCCCATTTACCAAGCAGAGCCATCACTCCAGCTCCGAGCAGAGTGCAGAACACCATGTATAGCAACCGAGAACGCTGCTTGGTACGACACGGATCAAACAAGAAATCCCGAGCCAACAGCTCCACCAGACCGCTGTAGATCAGAATGCCCGCGGACACGGCGTTCAGCACACCCTGTACAATTGCAGCAGTTTTCGAGTCCGGACTGTAGGTTGTGCGCACTCCAAGGCCGATAGCAATGGAAACCGGCGTCGTCAAGCCGTAAAGGGAGCACAGGATCCAGGGAAGCCAGGTGTGTCGCCCAAATGGAATCGCGGACATTCGGGCCCCAATACCGAGTCCCTCGAATGACTGGTGAAAGACCAAAACGGGGTACAGAGTCGCAAACTCGGAGCCGGTGACGCCCAGATTGAGACCGATGATGACAGAGTGGAAGATGATGCCGAACTCCAGGAGCAGAAAGGCGGCAATCTGTTGTCGGAACGATCGCTCGGCCATCATGGAATCCCCCTCGGATCGCCAACTGTCGGCTCGTTTCAAGTCCTTCGCGGGCTGTGTGAGCTCCGGTGCCGGCTGCACGTCCAGATGATGTTCATGGCGGATAAAGGTGCTGGTGGCATTTTCGTCTTTGTGGATGCCGTACTTTTGCTCGACATAGACCTCCGCCGCGAGGTCCAGTAGGAAGATAGTGACAACTGACGTCAGAACAATGGCAGAGCACCACGAGTACTGGTCCCAGTTTCCGGACACAGCCACACAGCTGCCCGGGCCGATGCTCTCATAGGCTGGATCGAGCAGATGGATGAATGCGGTGGCCACAATGACACCGGTACCAAAATATCGAGCAAAGAGGTAGACACTGTGAGGGATCTTCCATCCTGGCATGCGTTTGGATACCACCGGGAAGAACGTGAAGACCGAGGACACGACCAGAATCACGAAGATGGAGGAGATACGAGCCCCAAGCTGCCCATTGTAGTCGTTGCCCGAGACGGTCAGGTAGCAGATAACATCTTCTTGGCTGGCCGTGTCCAGGTTGACATTGGAGGGATCGAAGATAGGCATGCTGGCCAGTCAACCTTTTTTGATAATCCAGAAAAGAACAGGTTGAACGTGAAGGGCATGGATCAACGACTGTTTATATATCCATGTTCCTGAGGACCTTGGGGCGGTCCGCACGTCTAGGACCATTGTCCCCGGTTAAAAGCTTTCAAGGTGCCTGACATGGGGCTTCGCGTGGGCTGACGCAGCAATGAGACGCACGCATTGGGATCCATAGGGCTGAGACAGAGCCAGTCACCTGCAGCTTTTAGCGGAAGGGAAAAGCTTGATCCATCCTTCTGATGGAGCAGCCGATGCATCGTGTCTTTCCACAGACCCTCGTAAAGTCGGTCGAGATCTCATGGTTCAGCAAGTATAGCTGGGTGCGGCGCAGAATCGAGAATTCTTGCCCAGCCATGCCATGGCAACTCGCAGTGATAACTTCGCAGGGACCGCGAGGAAATCTCCGGTGAAACAAACCAAATGGATCCGTCCGTCCCTGGGGCGAAATTGGTCCATTGCCGGGATGGTGCGAGGACCTTGGGCGCGAGCTAGAGATGCATCTCTCTGATTGGAGTCGAGTGATGAAAGGCAGCAGCTTTCTTCTTCCATTGCCCCATTCCACTGAAAACAGCAATCCAAATCAAACGAAAAGCCAAGTCGTGGTCGTCTAATCCTCCCTCTGCCAGTAGATGTGATCTCGAACTATACCCCCGACAGTCCGTCACCAAGGTCCCTAGCAGCGGATGCTCATGTAATCAATCCATGTTGACACACCAGTCCTCCCCTCTTCGACTCTCCACAATGATACATCCACAGCCATGGCCTCCATCGTCAACGGCCGCAAGACATTCATCCCGCTGGAGAACAACCCGGAGGTGCTGGCTCATCTCTGCCGCAACCTTGGGGTATCCCAAACCCTTACCTTTCATGATGTTCTATCTACTTCGTCCGATCTGCTCGCGGGCATTCCAAGGCCGATTCGCGCCTTGATTCTGCTCTGCGACAGCCCCATCTATAGTGCTGCTCGCGCCACGTTGGAGCCTACCATCCCCGAATATCATGGACATGGTCCGCAGGAGCCCGTACTGTGGATGAAGCAGACGATTGGCCATGCGTGTGGCCTCATGGCTCTCCTCCACTGTGTTTTCAATCTGGCGGATGGGAAGTATGTAACACCCAAATCGCAGCTAGAAGCGCTCATGATGCGCGCGGTTGGGTTCGATCCCAAGGAACGGGCACAGCTACTGTATGAGTCGCAATTCCTGGAGGATGCGCATATGGATGCGGCGGTACAGGGTGCTTCGTCCATTCCCTCGGCCCAGGACGATAACCATTTCCATTTCGTGGGATTTGTGAAAATGGACGATGGGAGGGTCTGGGAGTTAAACGGAGGGTTGCCAGGTCCACTGTTCCGCGGGACGCTACAGCCCCATGAAGACTTGCTGGGAGAAGGAGGGCTGGCGATGACCGTCAAAGACTTCCTCGATGCGGCACAGACGCAGCGCAGTAGTATCGGGGTGAGTATGGTGGCAGTGGCCGAGACAGACTAAACGATTACACATACAGCCACCGCAAGGAAGACCGAAATCTATCCTGTTCATTCAAAGAAAATGCTATCAGATCCGAAGAGGTTTGGTAGAGAAACAAAACAAAGAGAGGGTTCGTCCAGAGTAGTAGTATGTTCTGTATGTCAGGCATGGCTGGGTATAGAACAGATGGAGGGATCAGTCGGGAAGATCCAGCCCCGAGAATTGGTATATGGGTCTATATGCAACGCACAGAGAGTTCTAATAGAACAATGTTCATCATCATCATCATCATCCAAAATAGTGTCGTAATCCTTCGTAGACGGCGAAAATGAAGGCCGAGCTGGGCGCCGAACGAGCGCAGGTGATGCCACAGCCGCGGTACATGCCCTTGATCCCCTGCTGCTTCCACAGCGCTTTGCCAACGCTCCAGAAGGTCTGCCGCTCGCTGTTGACCGGCAGCCGCGAGAGGTCCTCGGTCTGTAGCCGCGACTTGATCGTGTCCGCCGGGTAGAACAGGAAGTTGTAGCTGATTCCGGCGGCGGCACCCGCGATCATCTGCTGGTACACGGGGAGGCTCTCGGTGCTGGACTGGTGAGAGTATTTCCGGAAGAGTGAGGACACGCCTTCGTAACCACCAAACCAGGCCGCACTGCCCCCGGTCTCCCGAATCAGGGTGCCTAGCTGTCCGCGCCAGAAGCCCAGCAGACCCTCTTGGCGAAAAACAGATGTGATCAGAACCAACGGACCCGGGGCTTTCAGACCGGCCGACTCCGCAGGCACCTGCATCTTGCATTTGATGAGTTCAATGGGGGTGAGGGCCAACGAGGTGACCGAGCCGGACGCCGCACCGCAGAGGACGAGGGCGGGGAAGTGCAGCTGCTCGGTGTCTGGGTAAATGGATGCGCGCAGAAGGTCCTGGGCAATGCGATAGCTGAAGAAGAGACAGCTGGTCTCGACGGCGGCGCCCGTCATCGGGGCACTGATGCCCCGGTAGAGCCCTCGAACGCCATCTGCCTGGAAGGACTGGCGGAAGCAGTCTAGGGGGCCGGTGTAACGGAGAGGGAGGTGTGCGGGCTGAGATTGGAGTCGGACTTTGACGGTGTCGAAAGGGTACTCGATGAGTTTGCCAGCCATTCCGGCTGTCTATAGAGTCACCGACCATTAATCTTTGCCCGATACCTGACAGGGAGGGAGGGGATCCTACCGATCCAAAGACAATATCCTTCACAGCCTCGAGACCCTGGTTGGGGGGCAGCGACGGCCGCTCCATGGGTCTCTCATCGGTGACGGGGATTGCATGCTCCGCCGCGGCCATCAAGGAGTGCGATCACCAGAGGGAGGAGTGAGGGGAGAAGAGGATTATTGGAGCATGGTATGGTCTGGAGTGGGAAGAGTGAGGTATTTATGTGAAAGGGTGCGATGAGATGAGGGAATTCTTCAGGCTCTGACGAAGAGGAGGCCAAGCGGTGTAACGAGAAGGGAATTTTCGGGCAGAAAAAAAGAACCACTTATCTGATCCGATCTGATAATAATCGATCAGGTTGAAAAACTCGTCCGGCGCGCTCCACTTCGTGTCTGCCATCCATCATGTCGTCCACACCAGCCGAGGAGCCTGCGGGCCTGCGCAAGAATGGTATTCCTTGATCCATTCATGGCCTCGATGACTCCGGTACTAACTAACATCACCCATTAGGCAAGCAGTGGCACACCCCCAAGAAGGCCTTCCGTCCCACCGCGGGCCTGACCTCCTACGCCAAGCGGCAAGAAGCCCGCAAGACCCACGAAGCTGTCAAGGAGCGCGAGCGTGAGATGAAACAGGAGAAGGAGGCAGAGCGACAGGTATGATTCCCGTCGGACAGACCACGGTGGATGGTGCTGACCGGTCGCAGGCCAAGATCCAGCGCATCCGCGATCGCCGGGCGGCCAAGGAGGAGAAGCAGCGGTACGAGAAGATGGCGGAGAAGATGCATCATAAGCGTGTCGAGCGGTTGAAGCGACGGGAGAAGCGCAACAAACTGCTCAACTCCTGAGCAACAGTCATGCTGGTCGGCGTTTTCTTCGGTCGCGTCTGAGTTTTTTATTGGCATCGTCTGTTCTTTTTTTGCATCGTCTGTTCTTTTTTCGCATCGTATGTTCTTATTTGCATCGTCGAGTTCTTCAATCTATCTGTATACCTATAGAGTATTTAGAGTACGTACCTAGATTCCTCGAGTGCTCGGACTTGCTGCTGTGTTCTGCCGATCTTGCTGCCTGAGGTACATGTAACATCGTCACCTTTCTTCATCCTCTCCCATCCATCCCCAACCTCATCAGAATGTCCTGACATGGACTTCTCCTTCAAACATCCCCTGCCACTCTCCACCCACGCCCCGGCCACCTTCCCTCTGGTCCATGGCGCAACCACGCCCCGGAGCCACCGGTCCAGCCCAGGCCCTGCGCTCCCGATCTCGGACGAGCCGTTTGCAGGCACCCAGCTGGACGGGCCCACGGGTCATGGCAACACCTCCGATCCCCACTCGCGACGTCGGCCCTCCCCGCGACAGCTACTGATCGACCCGCTAGGCCTCGACGGCCCGAAATCATCCCATCACCGCCACAAGCACAGCAAGTCACGAGAGCTCCGCCTGCCCCGACCCATGAACCACCTCGCCTCGTCGGCGGCCAGCGCCCGCGGGCTGCTGCCAACTTGGTCGGGAAGGGAGAAGGATCGGGAGAGTGACGATGGGCTGCTACGACCAATCACCCGCGAGACGACGCGCACCACTCGCTGGGGGTCCGACTCCACGGTTGGACTGGGCACGGGCAGTCGGAAGGGCAGTCTCCTCGACGTGCCCGAGTTCCCAGACCAACTCGGCCCGATTCGGCGACAGGGGATTCAGAATCGGGACGACCTCGATATAGTCAAGAAGCGGCGGAAACAGGGCGAACAGTAAGCTTGTTGTCTCTGTCGCGAGGAACTACAGACTGATTCCAGCCAAAGATATCTGCGGACGGCCCTGTCCTCGATAGGCAGTCAGGCCACCGATGTCACCCGCCGACTCGATTACACCTATTACAACCTGCTGGAGAAGGTCACGGCCCTCAATGCGACCATTGCGTCCTTTCAGGAACTCTCCGACTCTGCGTCGACCCTCCTCAATGACTTTGAACGCGAGACGGCCGGGTTAGACCAGGAGATCCGCAAACAGATCAACGAGCTGAAGGGGTTTGAACCACAGGTTCAGAAAGCCGACGCTCTCGAGGAACGGATGAAGACCGGCCGACGGCGAGTGGAGGATTTGGGGAACCGGCTCGAGGCCGTTCGGCAGGAAATTGACCGCTGGGAGCGGAGGGAGGCTGAATGGCAGACGCGGGTCAGCCGAAGACTGCGCATCTTCTGGATGATTGTCACCAGTGCGGTGCTGGTCCTGGCACTGGCCATCATCCTGCAGAATTGGCCGGCATCCCAACCTCCGCTGCCCGTGACGAGCCCCGAGGTCGTGGAGTCCGTCGTTCACGAACCCGAAAGCTTCCCCATGCCGCGCCCATCGAGCCTTGCCGATCGCCTCGAGAGCCTTCATCAAGAGCAACTGCACACAAGCCTCGATGCGGCGCACGAGGCCGCGGCTACGCCTACGGGGCACGATCCATTGGCCTTGTTGGAAGATCTGTGAATGGTGGTTGATTCATTTCTGTGTGTAATGCTACGTCGGTCATGTCATGATACCCTTTTTTTCTCCCTTTATGCCTCGGCCTTCTTCTTCTTCTTATCCTCGATGAGCTCGATGTTGGCCTCGGGGACCTTGCTGCCGTAGACATCCACCAGCCACTCCTTGACATCCTCGCTCACATCGCCTTGGACGGTGATTTCCTCGGTGCCGGACGGGGACTTGGTCACGGAGGAGCCTGTCGCAAACTTCTTGCCCAGTTCCTTGGCCACCTTTTTATTCTCCAGGCCATGCACCTCCAGCCCGATGACCACGGTGACATACTTGCGCTTGTTCCGCTCGACACGCTTGATCTGGATCTTGGAGGCGGCCTTGCGCTCGGCATCGCGGGCCTCGTTCTGTGCGGCCTTGGCTTCCTTCTTGGCGGCATCTTTGGCGGCCCGTTCCTGGACGGAGACCTTGAGGGTGGACAGGTTGGCACTCAGGGCCTCTGGACGGGCGGGTTGTCAGCGCGTGGGTGGGCGGGACGGGGATGGGTGCCGCAAGTACCTTCGGAGTAGAGTCGATTCCACAGATCGGATTGGTTCTCCTTCAGCCACTCCTCACATTTCTTCGCGGTGCCACCGAACTCGCAAAACTATAATTGAGGATGGTTGGTTAATTGGCCCCATGCGGGAGCTTGGATCTTTCCCATTCGTACCTCCGGCGGCAGGGTGCACACTGGGCGGGTCAGCACGATGGGTGCAGGATGGCGTCATGACTTTCTTACCTCCACAGTAGACGACATGGCGCGCTTGGGGCTCGGGGGGGCCAGACTCTGCCACGTCTGTCATGGTTGATGAGTGAATAAAAACCTAGGTCAACAATCGTTCATCGAGGGGCAGAGATAGAGGGTGTTGGGTGACATAATCACTTAGCTAATCCCCCCCCCGACCCTGCTTTGCTGCCCTCCCTTGCCCTGCCATTCTCCCTCCCTCTGTTTCTGATCCCACGGTCCTCGGATCCGGTGAAACCTTGCCTGCATGCACACCCGTTGGCTTGCAGAGGATGATAAGAGACCGGAGGACAGCCAGCCGCGCACAGAGTTCATTCCCCCCCGGTCGGAGGCAACATCAATGGCCGTTAGGAAAGTGGAGTGCGTCGTTGCATGGCGTTATCTGTGCCTGGAGCTGGTCCAGAACAGAGCCCAGAGGCCCGAGCTTCTGGAGGCGTCGTGCCCCGATGCCTCGATCTCACTGGGTTTTTCTCGGATCTCCAATCAGAGCGGAGGAGCGTAGGAGTAGGAATTGTCTGTGTCTTCAATCAAGTAATGATGTCCTACGTAAAGCGAGAGAGGTAGGACCATCCATGAATCTCTGTGCGATGCCACCAATCCTGAGCCCGTGCTGGTCCGAGCGATCGCTGCGCTCGGATCGAGAGATTTATCTTTGCCACCCATGATTATTATTATTCTCGTCCCTCCGGATTTACCCTCCACATTCTTCTTCTTCTTCTTCTGCTGCTGCTGCCCCCTCCTCTTATCTACTTCTACCTCCATGGCTTGTTCTGCTTCCTGATCCCCAGCCCTCGTGCTGCTGCTACCGCCCTTGTCAAGACTCGACTCCTCACAACCGCCATGATTGCCGTGCTGAGCCAGCAGGACCAGACCTCGCGCTTCGCCTCCGACCCGCAGCGCTTGCCGACCGCGCAGCGATACTTCCTCGACGACTTGTCCCCCAAACCTCCAATGCCACACCATGACTCGCCTAGGGAGTGCCCCAGCCCTGTCACATCGACCCTCTCCTCCATCCCGCCATCCCCCGATACCACTCTGAGCAGCCTCTCCCTGGAGGACGAAGATCTGCTGCTGCCCTCCTATGACGAAGGGCATACCGCCAAAGAACCTGTCTCCGGCGAGCTACCGTCGACCAGTCCAGCCCCGTGGCCGGTCCAGAGCCCAGCGGCCGACGACACCTCCATCGAGCAAGAACCACCGTCCCGGCATGTGGATTATCTCTCACACGACTGGGCCGAAGAGGACATCTGGGCCTCGTGGCGCTATGTCACCTCCCGAAAAGACAAGTACAGCAATGGCGTACGGCTGGAGAACGCCTCTTGGCGAACCTGGACCAAGACCAAAGACAAAATCGGGACCATCTCGCCCGAGACGCTGAACTGGCTCAAGGACTGCGATGTCACCTGGCTCTACGGTCCGTTGAAGACCTCCACCAGCAGCGCGACGGTCTCGGGGCTCTCCCCACCCCCAAGTCGTCTCCACACGCCTAGGCCCATCCTGAAGAAAAAAACCGTTTCGGAGACCATCCTGCAACGGTCTTTGTCCCAAAATACCCTTCTCAAACATGCCGGCGCCATTCTGAAGGCCCAGGAAGCTGAGCGTCGGCGCACTCGGCCGCCCTTTGGACGATCAAACACCGATATTGAACAGTTCCGGACGGGCAGTTCCACGGATTCGCAGAGCGGCACACTCACCTCGGCGACCTCCTCCGGCGTGACGTCTCCCAGCGAACGGCGCCACATCCACTTTAATAATGAAGTCGTGCAGTGCATTGCCGTGGAGGTCAAGGGAGGCGACGACGACGGAGATGACTGGCCAGCAGTGGATGACGAGTCGTCCTCGGACGATGGTGTGGTCATGATGAGGCAATCGGCCCCGAGCAAGGCGTCGGCCAGCAACCGGAGCACGCCGCGCAACAGTTTCAGCGGTGAAGGCAAAACCATTGCTCTTTTGCCATCCACGACCCTCAAGTATCGCGAGGATCCCCCAGAACCCCGCGAGTCAATCCTCGACCGGTGGGCCGCCCAGCAGTCGTCGTCGCCATCTTTATCCCCCACGCCGTCCGTGGAGACCCTGCGGCCGTCCCGGCCATCAGCCAATTTCCTCTTAGATGACGAGGAGGATGACAGCCTGGATTTCACGGGCCAGTACGGGTCGGCCGCCGACTACTACCGGGATCGACCGTGGTTTGTCTCCGAGGAAGAGACCGACTTGAACCGGCCGCAGTCCTCGGGCATGAACGAAGGGGACGGCGAGGCGACTAGCGCGAGCTTGATGGATCGAGTTGTTGACTCCATAAACGGCGCGAGGGACATCGCCTTTGTCATCTGGAACGTGGGCTGGGCAAGATGAAAGACCTTTGCGCGCGGCAGAGTGCAGGTCGGCCGGCCCTATAATCATGTAATGAGTAACATAAAACAAACGAGCCACGAAATGTACATACCCACCGATATCTTCTTCTTGATAAATAATCGATATTTATAAACAATCTATACTTCCACCTCGATCGTAGTTCCTCTCACCATCGGACCCACCTGTGGCCCCTGACTTTGAACATCCCGGCAAAACTTCCCTCCCCCGGGTCTCAATCTTTCTTTCTTTCTTTCCACAAACCATGGAGAACGTCAACGTCGCCGAGCTGGTCGAACGGCTGGGCAGCGATGAAGATGCTGCCCGCAAAATGGCCGTCTTCAAGCTGCAGGGCAACATTGGCGATCCCTCCTTCGCCGACGTCTTCATCGCCGAGGGTGGCTTGACGCGCCTGCGCTACCTGACCCTCCATGCCACCGGCAACACCCTGGCCTACAGTCTGACCAGCTTTGCGCGTCTGCTCGAGGTTGACAAGGGCTGGGAGTTTGTCGACCAGGAGCTCGTCGAGCGAGTAAGCGCTGCACCATGGGGACCGAAGAAGACACCGGAACTGACCTGATTGCTCGCCAGATCGTTGAACTCATTGTCACCCATCCGCTGGTCAATATCCTACGCGGCGCCATGTCCATCCTCGTCTCGGTCGTCTCGCATCCATACTCCGACAGCCACAAGTCGCAGACGGGCCTGTTCGGCTTCCGCGCCCTGAAACCCGCCATTGCCATCTACCCGCAGTTTTTGGAGATGCTCGTCAGTCGCCTGTCCTCTGCCGACCACGCCCTGTGCGCCAATGCGCTCCAATTGATCAATTCCCTCATGCGCGACTCCATCACCCACGATTCGGAGACCGAGTGGCCCAAGTTCATTCAGAAACTGCAGGATCTGGGCGTGATTCGAGCCGTCTATGTCCTCATGCAAGACTCGGCGCTCCAGGACCTTGCACATCCATTACTGGAGTTTCAATCTCTCACCAAAGTGCTGCTGCGAAAGTGGCGAGATATCCCCGTGAACCAGGAGAAGCCTGAGCATCGCCGAGCTTTGAAGGGAGTCTATCTGGCCAGCAACCCGGACAGGGGCACCGATGAGAACCCGGAGAATGGAGACGAGACGAAGCGTTCCCGTCGACACCATCCCGACAAGTGGCGGCGGCTGGGCTTTGAGACGGAGAGTCCCACCGCAGAATTCTATGAAGTGGGCTATCTGGGCATGATGGACTTGGCGGACTATGTACGCAGCCATCAAGATGAGTTCCAGAAAATGCTCCTGGAGCAGTCGACCAAGCCCGCACGCCAACGCTGTCCGATTGCCCGCGCATCGCTGGCCGTCACGGCGATCCTGTACGAACATTTCGAAGTGGACAAGTCCGAGATGGAAGATGCTAAGAGTTATTTGATCATGGAGTCGCGCACCAGCATGGACAAACTATTCAAGCCCCTGCTCCTTCATTGGACGCGGCTGCATGTGGCCGGACTGCAGGGCTTTTTCCGCCTGTGGAAGGCTACGGCGGCCGAGTCGGAGGATCTGGACAAGATCATCGAGTTGGTCCGCATCCTCATCGAATCCGTCGTGGGGGGCGCAGCCCGAACCAAGGATGTCCAGGACATCGAGAAAGAGCTAGCCGACTTTGAGTACCAGCGATTGCGGGAACTGCAAATGGAACTCCTGGAACTCACGTACGAAGATGCCTGGGGACAGCACCTCCGGCAGGTGCGCGAGGAACTCCAGCACGAAGCCCTTCAGTTTGTCAAGGAACAGCGGATCCGATGCTTGTTGCAAGGCGCCTGGTTTTCGCTCGACGCACCCAAGAGCGAGTCCGCTGCGACACAGAAATCTCGCGCGGCGTACCAATACGTTCAATTGTCGCATAATCGGCGATATCTCCACTTTGGCGAGTTCGACTCCATGGCCGACAAGGCTCCGGAACTCGATTCTCTACCTGAAAAGAGTGAGTCCCTTTCTCTCCAGACCCTTATTTGGCTCTAATATTTTGTGCTTTTTTTTTTTAATTTAGTTGATCTCTCGATTGTTTCCTCGGTGGTGTCCAACGTATCCTCTGCCCCGGATCACTCATCTTCCTCCACTGTCAAGACGGCGCCGCGCCAGCCCTCGACCAAGATCACGATTCACGGCTATGTGCAATCATCAACATCCACGGGTCACTTGCAGGGCCAGGGCCATGCGCGGTCGGGGAGCAGGACAACGCAGAAGGAGGCCGTCCTCCTCACTCTGCGGCCTTCGTCGCACAGCATGGCGTCGGAATGGCTGGACGGGCTGCTGATGCTGCTCAACCAGCAGCCCATCACAGCCGAGACGACGAAGCTGATCGACCTGGTTAGCAACTACGGGCTGAAAATCCGGCTGCTCAACGTTCGGTTTGACGACGCCACATTTGCGGGCGAAGCACCCCGGGAGCCCTCGCGGCAGGGTCTGGACGAGGATTACTACTATGATGTGTTTGGCGGCGCTTGAACTGACGAGAGCATGATTCTTCTTATACCCATCGTGCTATGTATTGCATTTGATTTTCAACCGTTGTATTCTATTATGATGATTATCGTTATTACATTCCTTGTACTTATTTCTACTCTGTTGTATTGTTATTCAATCAATCACAAAGTTGTGGCTTATCTTATCGTCGATAGTCCATCGCGTCGTCTCTCTCTCTCTTCCTCTTCGTGTTTCCCCCGGAGTCAGGCTCAGCGCCTAAAGGATGATGCATTATCCGCTGGCTCCATGATGGACACTCGTCCCTCGAAAAGGCAGCGTACAATCGTTTGCTCCGACGACGACGATGAACCCGTGCGCCCCCTGTCTCGCTCTCGCTCGCCAGCTCAGCCATCCATCTCCAGTCGCTCAGAGGGCATCGCAACGGCCAATTCAAGCTCACTCACCACCGGACCCTCTCGTTCCAAGCTGAATGCACGCTCTCGAGCCAGCAAAGCGGCGCCATCGAAACGCCCTTCCGCCTCCACGTCCCCGCAAAAGAGGGCCCCTTCCAAACCGTCCCATTCCTTGCACAGCTTCTTCCAGCCGGCAACAGAGGGCCAGCGATGGTCCTCACAAAAATTCGATGTTAAACAGGAGCCCGAGTCGACCTCGAAGGAAAGACCCGTCGAAGACGATATCATTGAAGACGATTACGATTCCTATGATGAAATCTTCACGCAGCACCTCGCCGGTGCAAGTGCAGATCTGGAGAACAGCGCCAAATCAGCTAGGCAGGGCCACAATGAGTCTCGTCCGTCCGAACCAAAACGCTTGATCAAATCACGGAACCCGACGCGACATGCCAAGCGCTTCCTCCTCCCAGAAAGTCCCGCAACTAAACGCTCCACGGCGAGTCTATCAATAGAACCCGATGGACGGCCATGGGCGCAGCGATTTGCTCCCTCGAATCTGGACGAGCTGGCGGTCCACAAACGCAAGGTCTCTGATGTGCAAAAGTGGCTGGAAGATGTATTTGCGGGGAGACGTCCTCAGGTATGTACAATGCTAGAAAAGGACGCTGTCAAAGGTTCTGGGTTGCTAACAGTGGCAGAGATTACTCGTTCTTCGTGGTGCTGCGGGTTGTGGGAAGACCACTACTGTCTCGCTTCTGTCTGCGCCGCTTGGTTTCGATATCATCGAGTGGAAGAATCCCCCGGCCTCCGATTATACGGCCCGGGACTATGTCTCGGCGAGCGCGCAGTTTGACGAATTTCTCACCCGAGGCGACAAGTTTGGCGGGCTTGACTTGGAGGGTGCGACAAACGCTTCTCCAAAAGAAGAAGACCGGACAGCCAATGCTTCTCCCAGGCGGGTTCTTCTAATCGAAGAGTTTCCAGCAATGAACCGGTCGTCCTCCAGTCTGACAGCTTTCAGGGCTTCGCTACAGCGCTACTTGGCCGCCTCAGCACGACCCCGATCTAATAATGCCCGAGAAGATGATGGACTAGCGCATCCTCCGATTGTCATCATTATGTCTGAGACATTGCTAAGCTCCACATCGTTGGTGACAGAGAACCTGACCGTTCATCGTCTGCTTGGACCGAATCTATATCATCACCCCGGCACGACGATTCTAGATTTCAACAAGATCGCGCCCACTCTGATGCAAAAGGCGTTGCAGACTATCCTCGAAAAGGAGGCCCGAAGTTCCAAGCGTGCTCAAATTCCGGGCCCGGCAGTATTGGACCGGATCTCTGAGCTTGGTGATATTCGTAGTGCAGTCTCATCTCTCGAATTTCTCTGTCTGAAGGGCGACGGGGCTGGGAAATGGGGAGGCAGTTTGGCAACCAAGACGAAAAAGTCCACCCGAGGACAGGTTGCCCTCACTCCGATGGAACAGGAGTCGTTGAAGACGATCAGCCAGAGAGAGTCGAGTCTCGGGATGTTTCACGCCGTTGGTAAGATTGTGTACAACAAGCGTGAGGACAAGAGCCTCCTGCAAGATCCAACAGTCGCTCTGCCGCCGCCACCCGATCATCTACGTCACTATCGTCGCGACAAGGTCTCACAGGTGTCAGTCAATGAGCTGGTTGATGAGACCGGGACTGACATTTCGACTTTTATCTGTGCTCTCCATGAAAACTACCCGCCGTCGTGTGAGGGTCATTCGTTCACCGATTCTATAAACGACTGTATCGAGGCCCTTTCCGACAGTGATCTCCTCGGCATTGATCGTCGCTCTGTGCATGGTGCACGGGCAGGGGTCGGAACGGGCGCCACCAGTGTCAGCGGAGGCATCGATCTACTGCGACAGGACGAAATCAGTTTCCAGGTGGCTACCCGAGGCCTTCTTTTTGCTCTTCCATATCCCGTGAATCGAAAATTGGCGCCTGGGAATGGACGGACCCGGCCAGGCGATGCCCACAAGATGTTCTATCCGGCCTCACTGCGCTTATGGCGTGAAGCTGAGGAGGTCGAGGGCCTGGTGGAATCCTGGATGAAGCGATTTCTTCATCCATCTGGTGGGCTGCATCTCTCTCCAGCCTTGGATGTCCCTTCTTCGGGTGTCAAGTCGTGGAGCAGCCGAATTGGGCAACATGGGCACTTGGGATCCGCCAGCGTAGACCCTGCGACGGTGACGACGATGCTCTCCCGCCATGATGCGCTTCTTTACCAGTTGCCCTACATGGCGCAAATCCAGCGGCAGGAGTCGGAGCGCCGGCAGCTGGAGAGAATCACGACGTTTCGTGCCACAGGCCGCGAAAACACTGGGGACGACGATGCAATGGACGATCTGACCGATCCGTCATTATTGCCGGGAAAGCACAGTAGCAGCTGGACTGAGACTCCGATGGCGCCGACGGATGAGGAAGAGAAGCTGATTCTGAGTGACGATGATATTATAGACTAATGTTGTCGTTGTTATTGTTGTATGGATATATTTCTGGTAGCGTAGCGTAGTTCGTGCGAACGCGATGTTATCTTATCTCTCTGCCTCTTCTCCGTCCTTCCACCACTTCCTTCCATTTCCTCTCCCCGGACTCGACCACTTCAATCCTGTCTCGACCGGATTATTGAACCCCGGAAGAATACCGGACACCACCCAGGTGTGAAACGAAGGGCCATTGTAGGAAGAGAGCGTCCCGACGCGCCAGGTCCGCCTCGTCCCTGCTCACAAACATTCCGAGACACTGACCGGGACTCTTCCTTCTGCCCCGACAGGCGAGAGAGAATATGCTCAATGACAGCGACGGCCATGCGAAACGGAGATATGAGGATTCCTACGAGCTCAATTCCGTCCAGCTGTCCGCCATCAACGCACCCGAGGAACTGATCACCCCATCGCTGTGCAAGTCCGGAGACGCCCAGGGTGATTCATGCGGCCACGACGCGCTGGAAAAAGATAAGCCACGTAGGACCACAGTGCTGATCGCCGCCGCCGCACATGCAGCGGTCCCCAGCTGGGCCACTCTGGTGTTGATGGCCTCCCTGATTTTCGGGGGTTGCTGTGCCAATGTGAGAAACAGACCCCAGACAGCGCCGAGGCCCAGAACTGACTGACGGACTCTTTGGGACAGGTATTCACGCTCGAAGCGATCATCAAGTGAGTGGTGCACATCGTACCCCAAAAGAAAGAAAGGACATTGCTAACGCCTTGTTCAATTCAGAGAACAACCGACTGCCGGTAAGCCCCCACGATCCCGCCGACATCCAGACCATGAGCCGGTTTCTGATCCAGCTCCCGGCAAGCAGGCCCTTTGATCACGTTCGCCCAATTCATTCTGTGTGCACTCTTTACTCTCCCGCACTTCCTGTCCTTCTCCGCAGGTCCCCGGGCATTGTTCCTCAGCCCACGCGCGATCCCCTTGCGATCATGGCTGATATACACGGCCTTTTTCGTGACGGTCAATCTTCTGAACAACTGGGCCTTCGCGTACAAGATCTCGGTGCCGCTACACATCATCCTTCGGTCTGCGGGTCCGGTGGCCTCGATGATCATTGGGTATCTCTTTAACAACAAGCGCTATTCCCGGGGACAGATCCTCTCCGTGGCCATGTTGACGGCGGGTGTCGTGGCAGCGGCGTTGGCCGATGCTCGCGCCAAGGGACATGCAATTGAAATCGGGTCCCCCAGCGGCGAGACACCGCTGATGACCACCGCAACGGGCTTCACGATCCTCGCATTGGCCATGGTTTTATCGGCCTTTCAAGGAATCTACGCGGACCAGCTATACGCAACCTATGGGCGAGACCATTGGAAAGAGGCTCTCTTCTATTCACATACACTGTCACTGCCCCTTTTCTTAACTAGCTACCCGCAGCTGTCATCTCAATGGCGAGTAGTGTCTTCAACGCCATCTCTTTTGTCCCAGGTTCCCGCCAATACGAACTCGGGACTCGGGTCCACCTCTTCGGCTCTTTCGTTCTTGGCGCAGGCGCAAGAGTACCAGTCCGTCCAGTCGGTTCTCGCACAACTTCCAGTACAAGTGGCATATCTTCTTATGAACGCGCTGACACAATATCTGTGCATCCGCGGTGTTCATCTATTGTCCGCCAAGTCCTCATCGTTGACGGTTACCATTGTCTTGAATATCCGGAAACTCGTCTCGCTTCTGCTGTCCATTTATCTTTTTGGGAATCATCTTGCATCAGGTGTTCTGGTCGGGGCGGCCCTGGTCTTTGTCGGGGGTGGACTGTACGGCTTTGAGGGCGCCCGCCTACGAAACGCTTCGACGCGGAAGGCTCGGTGATGGATCATTTCGTTTGCATCGGCTCTGTGTCGGGTAATTGTTTATAGATCCAAGCGCTTGTTTAATATATACCAGCTGAGACTGCACAATCGAAAAAAGCATAGAAATGAATTCGAATAAACAAGAACAAAACGGCAGCAGAAGCTCAGCTAATGGTGCGGAGAGAACAAGTGAGAAGAGAAGCAATCCAGATCGGAAGAGCCTGGAAGAAGATAGATATATCGATAGGCACTGTCCATAATTTACAAAGACACATCTGCGAGGAAACATCCCATCTGAGAGGAACATGAAGCGTAATCTTGATGACCACACACTTCAAATCATACATACCCCAAAATAAGAAGACCGTGGAGGGTCGTATCTATAGCACTTCGCCCACGATCTTCGCGGCCTCTTTGTAGGTTTCGAGAAGCCGCTCACACTTCTCGCGCTCGGCCTTGATGCCATCGTCTTCGTAAAGCAGATCGCCGAAAAGATCCTCTTTATAGAGTTCGCTGACGAGTCTATTCTGCACGACGTCTTTGCAATAGTTGACCAAGAGATGCATAATGGCTTTGGGAACCTGGTCGGCAATGGTCTCTCGCACAATGCCGAAGTAGGATGAAATCAGACGGCGAATCAACTCGGTTTCAAGCACCTCCCGATCGGTAAGGGCTGGCTCGGCATTGTTATGGGGCTGTAGGCACGAAAGGTCAGCGAGAGCACGGAAATCGGAAACCAGTTCAAAGAACACTTACAAACATAGACACTTCACCGCCACCGTACTCGGGTGGAGCAGCGTACTCCTCTGATGGCATAACCGGAGACCGCATTTCAGCCTGACGGATACTCTGGCTAATGCTAGACTCGCTCGCATGACCAGCTTGCCGCCTTGAATGCGTGCCGGCCTGCGGCGGCGAGGCCAGGTTCTGAGACGATCCACCTTCCTTCCCGAAGAAGTAATTCAAGAAAGAATCACGTGCGGTGTTCGAACCACCAAGGGCAGCTGTATTTTGCGCACCATTCAAGGTTGCCGCAATGCCATTCTCCCCACGGCCCACATTCGGCGACATGCTTCGGGCTTTTGTGGACTGGCTCCGAATAGGCAAGTTTTGCGACTCCTCCTCATCAAGCCCTCCAGAGGCAGTCCCGTTGGCGGTCCCAAGTTCTTTGACGCGTCGCTTTTCCCGCTTTCTCTTCTCTTCTGCCATGACCGCCTTTCTCTCCTCTTCTTGCCGGGTTTGAATAATGGAAGACATGGCAGCCGCGGCACCCAAGAAGTTAGGATGGTTGGTGTTGATGTAGGCTCTTTGGATCGAGATGACAGATTCTACGTAACCCGAGCACGGCCCCAAGCGTTCACGGAGAAGATCGGAAACCACCTCGATGAGTTTCCCCTGAAGGCGAGGGAATCGCATCAGCTCTTGTGAGCCACATGTGTGGCAGATCTTGATGAGCTCCTCGTAGACCAGTTCCACACATCGTTGACTGGGAGCCTCCAGCAGCTTGATCTGCGGCTTGACCAATAGATCAAATGCCAATTCCGGGACAAACAGACTGGGACGAGGACCGGTCGAGTTGCGGATTGCCGTCCTGATATCCGACACCGTCAAGTTGTGGGTGGGATCAATCATTTCCAGAGAGTTGCCAAAGACCGAGTTGAAGATGTAGTAGATCCGGGCACCACCGCAGAGCTCCTTGGTCGAGATTTCCGACGACGTTCCATCGATCGACGAGATAAAAGAGGAAGCGAATCGGGTCATCAATTGAAGGATCAAGGACCCTCGGTGTTCCTTGCCGCTAAATTGTTTGTTCCCATAGCTGGCCAGTTCCTGTTGCGTTTGACCCATCAGGGTATTGAGGCGAGCTTTTATGTCCGGTAACCGATCCCGAATGTGCGACATGAGAGTTGTATTCAGCGTTTTGGCCAAAAACTGGGTTCCGCATCGATTGGCCATGTTTCGATACGCTGGGTGGTGACGAAAAAGTCGGCCTCGGCTCGAAGCGCCTCAGAGAGAGACTTGCCCGACTGAATGTCCTGCTGCGAACGGTTTACGACACCAATGAACCCTAGCTTCAGGGGATACACTCGCCCGGAGAGGATATCCATAGCATTGGTCCCGTGGTCCATTAGATCCAGCTTTGACAAGACGCCGATTGTCCTCCGGCCCATGGGATCCACCTGGCGGGCGAGCTTCAGCGCTTCCGAGTTGACCAGGTCGACATTAGCCGGAGAGACCGCCAGAATGATGCTGTTCGGTTTCGCAATGTACTCCAGGATCAAGGTACGGGTCTGTTTCTCAATATCGGACGGTTGGTCGCCAATTGGCACTTTTGTCAAGCCGGGCAAATCCACCAGAGTCAGGTTGAGCACATGGGGTGAGAAGATCTTCAGGTTGATCGGCTGTCGGTTAATGCCCTTGTTGCTTCCAGCAATTCTCGCGGTCTCGGCTTCAATTTCTTGCTTCACCAGGCCGAAATCTTCGAACTTGCGACCCGGAAGGTGGTGGAACTCCGCCCACTCGTGTTGACCGGCGACACTGGCAGCCGTATGTGGGATATGAATCTCATCCTGCTCGGGCTTATCGTGGCGTTCGCTAGGGATGTTGATGAGCTGCAGGATCAACGGCCGCCGGGTGACAATACCGCTGCCCCGGGGTAAGAAATCGCGGCCAACGATGTTCTCCAGCACCGACGACTTGCCGGACGACTGGGAACCCACAACAACCTGCGAGCCGAGTTAGAAGATGGAGCGGGATGGGACAGGGGACACGCACGATCTGGGGCAGGTCGAGGGAGTCATTGCCGATGGTGTTGAAGACCAAGTCCTGCAACTTGTTGACTGTCACCAGCAAGTCCTCGCCCAGTGAAGCCATGATGGAAGTCAATGGGGTCTAAGGGGGCACAGTCGAGCAAGACGCGAAGGGGCGCGTGCAAGTGACTCTCGGCAGGATCTGGATCGGCGCCTGTTGATGGAACACGTGATACGGCTGACCTAATCGGCAGGTGACGTCGTCTACATCCTGAGTGATCAATTTATAGATCTAGTGTTGATAGTACGAGGTAGCATTCAAAAAAAAATGGCATGTACAGTACACCTCCCTCACTGATCCAGCTGCACGTAGTTGGCAGGGAACAGCCCCTGCGCCCCATGATACACCCCAAGCCACCAGTCATCGTCCGGGAATTCCTAAAGCATCGGCTGAGCAAGGAGACACTCCAAGCAGAGGGGGAAACACTTACCACATTCTCAATCTTTGCTCCTTCGGGAAAGCTAATCTCGTTATCCTCGGCGGCCTCATAGTCGTACAGCGCCGTAGCGGTAGGGCCCTGAGAACTGGCCGCCGGGACAGCAGCTGCAGCAACCTCCGGTTCCGACACTGGCTCAGGCGCGGTTTCATGGCCGGCCATGTCGACGTGGTCTTCCACTTCAACATAGTTTCCGGGAAAGAGTCCGCGCTCACCACGCTCATTGATGCCCAGCCACCAATCCTTGTCCACCATTTCGATATCCGTAACATACTCTCCTTCCCGGAGGTCAATCTCGTTGTCCTCTGATTTCTCATAATCGTACTGCACCTTTGCCTGGATCCCGCCCTGTGGCTGCATATCGGCAGCGGTGGTTTCTGCAGCGGTGGTTTCTGCAGCCGCGCGGCCAAGGTCGTGGGAGCTCTCCTCAAGGTCTCTCTCGTCTGGGACGGCCTCCTGAAGACTTTCAATTGGCATGGCGGGAGGCGGAGAGTGCTGTTCCTCATGAGCATCCGCGACGTCGCCGCGGCCAACAGGCATGGCGACACGAATAGGCGAACCCTCCCGGACGGGTGGAGTCGGGGGTGTGGGAGAACGTGGCTGTGGTGGCGGGCTCGGGACGGGCTGTTGAGCATCACGTCCAACCTCAGGCTCAGTCGGACCAGTGGGAAGTCCGGGAATGGGGATTGCACGTTTTGGTTCAGGCTGCTCTACCTTCCCATGAGCAAACTGGCTTTGAATATCACGGACACTGGGCGCCGAGGCTTCTGCTTCAGAAGGTTCATTGGCCACAACATCTGCCTGACCCCCGGGTGTCGCAGACGCAATCTGCACTGGGGCCCATGTTTTGCCGGTGTAGGAACTCTTCCAGCTAGCACCCGAGCCGCTGATCTGGCTTGGGATTGAGGCAGGCTCCGCGACAGTCGGCGACGGGGTTTCACCGCGTTCGCGAGCCTTCCGTTCCGCCCACAATTGAGCAGGCGTTTTTCCTCCCTCATCGGCGAACGTCCGGCTGGCACTCCCGATCTGCACATTCGACGGCTTCGGGCCTGTCGCGCTCGGGAGAGGCGGTTTGGTCCCCGCAAAAGCCGGGCCCCCGCCGAATTTGTTCGCCACTTTGGGCTTCGGCAGGCTCGTCAGACGCGCTGCTGGATTGGAGACCGCAGGACGTTCAGGCAAGGTGGTGGTGGTTGGGGGCTGATCACGCATTCCAATGCTCGGTGCTCCGCTCGCAACGCCCGCATCTTCTGGTTTCTGTGCCCGAGCTCGAATAGCCGCGATGTCGACCTTGCCCACAGGTTCATATGCACCTTTGACGGGCGCGGGGCGATCATCTGCCATGTCGCCTGATTGCACAGCTTGCTTTCTGATTTGGGCAATGTCCACCTTGCCCACGGGCTGATATCCGCCCCTGACAACATCGCCATGTTCTTCAGCAGCCGCAGTGGGCGGTTGTCGGTAGGCCGGAGAGTTGTTTTCCGCTTTGAGCTCTTGCAGATTTACTTTCGTCGGCTTGTACGCTGATTGGACCTTTTCGAGCTGGGTACGAGTTACCGGAGGCGCATCCGGTCCCCAGCCATCATCATCCACTCCTCTCCGAGCGGTATAAGGCTGAGGAGCAGCCGATACCGGCGGAGGTGCGAGCCCGCCCGTCCTGGTCGGGGTGAATACGGGTTTGCTCGCAACCGGAGGGCGGGGTCCCGGGGCGGGGGCAGAAGGCTCCGCCCCGGAGTACTTGGAGCCAGAGGAGTCTGCCACTCTTTGAACGATGCCCTCCGGAGACAAGTCTCCGTCTGCGCGGGCAGTGATTTGCACATGATAACCCTAAACCCGGATCTGTGTTAGTATCAAGTCCTCGTCAGGAAAGGGGATCCCTCACATGTAGGAATTTGGACACGGCAGCCAGGTGGCTGGTGAAGTATCCCTTGGTGCGTTCGGGCACACCTTCTCCGCACCAGGCAATGAGCACATTCTTCGGCAGGCCAGTGTTCGGGTCCGTCACCTTCACGTAGGCGAATTGGGTTCGCCCCTCCGAGAACTCCTCAATCAGATCGGCCAATTGGCCATCTGCGGCGTGGTTGGTTAGCCTAGGCGCCCCTCAGAGAGATCCCACGAGGACTTACCGCCCGTTGTCTGGACCTTGAGGACACTCTCCTTGTTTCCTGCATCTTGCTGGAACGTGTTGACTAGCGGAGTCGATACCGAGAAGACCGCCCATTGGGCATAAGTCGGGGACGCTGCACTGCCGGCAGGGGGTTGGCCGTTCACCACGGCCTGGTAGCTTTTGGATATGGAGGGCCCATTGGCCGAGAGGTTGAGAGATGCCATGGCTTCCGGGGTGGAAGGGAAGGGAGGGGAGGCAGCAATCAATTGCGGCACACGATTTGGTCCACGTGGTGGGGGGAGAACGGCAGTGTCTCACAACGCATACACTGTCCGTGAAGAGCGAGCGAGGTTATGGAGCTGTTAGGTACAGCCTGGGATCGGTTGGGGGTGATATGATGATGGTGGTGGTGATGATTAAGGGAAGGGCAAGGAAGAGGAAGAGGAGGAGCCAACAACAACAAGGTGGCGGAAGGAGCTGGCTGAGCTGGGCTGAGTGAGCATCACTGACTGACCCACCCGGAGAGCTCTATCTCTCTCTCTTTTCCTCTTTTTCACCCACACCAACCCACTTCAAGCATCTACCTAGCTTCCCTCGTACAGCTCCCTCCCTACCGACGCCTCCATTCACTCGGTCATGGGGTCCGACGCCGGCGGCCCGTATCCCAATATCTCCAGCGACCAGGAAGATGACTCCCACCCGCCGCCGCCGCTGCTGCCCAGAGATCAGCAGCAGAAGACGGCCACCTATGACTACGCCTACGAGAAATCGCTGAGCCACGCCGAGGCAAAGCTTTTCTACCAGCACCACCAGCTGGCATCCCGCGACAACACCGTGCCTCCAAGCCCTGTCCCCGCCGGCCACTCGGGCGATTTTCACGGCGAGGAACTGCCCGCGAGCGCCACCGATCCTAGCTTCCTGACCGACAAAGCAATGACAATCGAGGCCGACTCGCTGCCTCTGCGACCTGTGGGTGGAGACCGGCCCTCTCACCAAGTCGATGGGAGCCCCATTGCGAGAAACCACCTCACTCCGGCCGAGACCCCGGCCCTGGAGGCCACAGAGGGCCTCGCGAACGCCAACGTGGGGCTGGGCATTTCCCAGGGCACCGATTCAGCGGGCTATGCGGTGACAACGGAGCTGGCGGCCATCTATCGCAAGATCAAGGGTCTCCTGGACCGGCGATCCAAGTACATGGATTTCTCGCTGCAGGTACCGGGGGATGATCCCCGGAATCAGTCCGAGTGGGAGATCTACCCTCCGCCTCCGGAGCCAGCTTGGGATGATGGGAAGGAATACCAGCCAGGCAATGTCGGGGGCCCGTCAGATTGGACGGGAAAGAAGAGGAAGATGGGCCAAGACATTGGGGAAGATTTTGACATGGCCGAACTGATGCCACTCCCCGGTGAATCCCCCTTGGTCTACCGGCTGGATGGCAACAGCGTCTATCAGGTCTACGAGTCCTCGTCAGCCGCGGATCAGCACCAGCCGATCGTCCAGATCCCATCCTTGCGTGATTTCTATATGGATCTGGATTCCGTGGTCGACGTCTCGACCGATGGACCGGTCAAGAGCTTCGCCTTCAAACGCCTGTCGTACCTAGAGGGCAAGTTTCAGCTGTATGCCCTGTTGAACGAATATCAGGAGATTGCCGACAGCAAGAAAGTGCCTCATCGGGACTTTTATAACGTGCGCAAGGTGGACACGCACGTCCACCACTCTGCATGTATGAACCAGAAGCACTTGCTGCGCTTTATTAAGAGCAAAATGCGAAAATCCCCCGATGAAGTGGTTCTCTTCCGAGACGGGAAACATTTGACCTTGCGGGAGGTCTTTGAGAGTATCAATCTGACAGCCTATGATCTGAGTATCGACACGCTAGATATGCATGTATGTTTTTTTCCCTCTTCTCACTTACCTCGATCGCTAATGGGGGGTCTGATAGGCGCATACCGACTCCTTCCATCGGTTCGACAAGTTTAACCTCAAATATAACCCAGTGGGGGAATCCCGGCTGCGTGAAATTTTCCTTAAAACAGACAACTACATCAAAGGCCGCTATCTAGCTGAAATTACCAAGGAAGTCATCTCGGACCTAGAGTCCAGCAAGTATCAGATGGTCGAGTGGCGCATTTCGATCTACGGGCGATCGATTCAGGAATGGGACAAGCTGGCGGCGTGGGTGGTGGACAACAAGCTGTTCTCGCCCAATGTCCGCTGGCTCATTCAGGTGCCGCGTCTCTACGATGTGTACAAATCAAGCGGCATGATGGAAAACTTTGAGCAGGTGATTACCAATGTGTTCCAGCCGCTATTTGAAGTGACCAGAGATCCATCCACTCATCCCAAACTCCATATCTTCCTGCAGCGCGTGGTAGGGTTTGACAGTGTGGATGATGAAAGCAAGGCAGAGCGTCGGCTGTACCGGAAGTATCCCATCCCTCGTGAATGGGATACCAAGCAAAACCCGCCGTACAGCTATTGGATCTATTTCATGTTTGCCAACATCGCCTCCCTCAACAACTGGCGCAAACGTCGGGGATTCAACACATTTGTCCTCCGTCCGCATTGTGGTGAAGCGGGTGACCCGGACCACCTGGCCGTGGCCTTTCTTTGCTGCCACAGCATCAGTCATGGGATTCTGTTGCGCAAGGTGCCTCTGTTGCAATATCTCTATTACCTGGACCAGATTGGCATCGCCATGTCGCCACTGAGTAACAATGCGCTCTTCCTCACGTATGACAAAAATCCCTTTGCCAGCTTCTTCAAGCGCGGGCTCAACGTCTCCCTGTCCACCGACGATCCGCTGCAGTTTGCGTTCACCAAAGAGCCTCTAATAGAGGAATATTCGGTGGCGGCCCAGATCTACAAGTTCAGCGCCGTGGATATGTGTGAGCTGGCCAAGCATTCTGTGGACCAGAGTGGATTCGAGCTTTCCTTGAAACGGCGATGGCTGGGCTCAAGCTGCGCCCTGCCTGGGGTCGCTGGCAACAACGTGGCCAAGAGCAATGTGCCAGATATTCGCGAGGCATTCAGGCAGGAGACTTTGATTGGAGAACGAGGCTTGTGAGTAGTCATGCTGGTTGGGGCAAGGTGATCAGAGCTGACGGTCCCCAGGATTGAGCGATATGCGGATGGCAATTCCACGGACGAATGCAACGGGGTGGCCCCTAGCTCATTGCAGAGTGCCAAACAGACCTCGGCGGATGGTATGTATAGATCAGTCCGGTCTTCCGCTGCGACTGTGAGCTCACCTTCCATTTCCACCTCTAGAACCGGGGCAAGTGTCCATCTCCCGTGATCCCGCTCCACAGGGCCCAGTCTCTTCTTTTGGTATAGAGCCGCAGGCTTCAATATACAAGTCATCCTCCTCACCCCCGGTTCCGGCATCGACGCAAAACGGCCGATCCCCTCACGTCCCGACTGGCGAGTTTTCGTCGCCAGTGAGCAACAGTGGTGCCATGGGAGCCTCTGTTGCCGGCGCAGATGGCACACCGGAACAGAAGATTTTCCCTGGGATTGTCCACGAGAGGGCCCGGAGAGGAAGTATCCGAGTTCAGTCCTGGGATGATCACAGCCATTAATCGAAACCCTTCATATAGGGACGTAAGGCTTCTCGCCATTCCCAGATCCTCTTTTCCGTCCGGCCGATTGAATCCATGCATGGCTAGGACTCCATCCCATTTGCTCGAGCCAGGTCCCTCCGGTACCAAGTAATTCCTATCTGACTGTCTGCTTTCTCTAGCTAAGCCTGGGCGATTATTGGATTAATTCGGGCTGGGGCTCGGGGACTCACTACAGCTTGTGCATGTTCTCCAAGGTCCCAAATGGTTTTCAAGACATCATTCATGGATTATAGATAGTAGAGGGTATATATTTGGTTAGACAAGAATCCTTCAAACTGCCCAACTGCCCCGGCGTTCTCGCATCCCCCAGGCCTCGACATTGGTCTCATCTTCCATGCTGGGCTGTTGCCGAGCCCACTCGTGTATGTAGAGGCGCAGAGCCTTCCATCGCATGCAGGAGAGTTGGCTAGCGCTCGTCGAAGCGACCACATAGCCTTTCGCATCCGTCTTTAAATCATCCTGGCGCAGATGCTCGACCGAAATGCCCGAGATCCGGCTCAGTTCGCGGTCGTAGTACCGAGCTACGCACGGATACCCGAGAGAAAGGTAGTTGTAGATTTGGGTCACAAATCCGTCATGGAATTCATCCAGGGTGGGTTTTCGAGGGCTGGGACTAACCCTCTCCTGGAGACCGCAAGGGTCTGGTGAACTCGAGCCAGGCCAATCCTCATGGCTCTGTGGGCTATGGCTCGGAGCAGCGGGCGTCATTACACCACGCGGGATCTCGTGTACGTCACTCACATCACGGCTCCCGCGGCGGCAGGTGCCCATCCACAGGCCGGTGGCACCTCCAGTCTCCGCGAGCGGTTCGGCGCACCACAATCCACCACAATGTGCACACGGGTCCTGTGGCGACTCGGACTCATTCTTCTCTCCGTGGGTGCTTTCGCACAAGGTTCCCACTGGAGACAAGCTCTGGGGGATCACAACGTCATCTCCGAGCATCGGGGGACTTGTAGTCTGCTTCTGCTGTTCTGATCGACCATCCAAAAGAGCCACTGAATGTGTGGGGAGGGCTTGTGACTTTGGATCGGCATGTCGAGACGCAACCATGGCTCTTAATCGCATTTCCGCCTCCTCCTTGTGCTGGCGCATGTACTCCAGTTCCCAGGAAAGGTCGGCAGACGACTGGCGTCGCGATTTTATCGGTTCCGGGCGGAAAGTGGGTTCCTCTTCTTCGAAGTCTCTGTCCTCTTCGTCAATTGCAAAGTGATCCACCGGTTGATGGACTTGTTCGTTAGGGAAAGCCGCTAGCGCCTGATCTCTGAGTTGCTTCTCTGCCGTTATGGCAGCCAGCGAGAGTAAGTACTCTGAAAAGGCATCGTCGCAACTTTCCCGGTGGCGCTTTTCATTTTGCTGTTTTCGAGGTTCTTTGTGAGACAGTCGAGACGAAGACGTCGCCAGTGATGGCGATTCCGAATCATCGGAGTCCTCGCTGCTGTTTGAAGGGATTGAGGGAAGATCTGGAACCCGGAATGAATGGCGGCGAGCCTCCTGTCGGTTCAGAAGACTTGCATAGGAGAACTTGGATTCGGGTAGATCGTAGTCCCGACGGCGAGCTTGCGGGAGAGACTCGCTCCTTCTCACGGAGCGAGTGTCTGTCTCAATGACCTCGGGTTTGAACCTCCGCGGACCACTCTGGGCAGGCGTGGTCGATGCGGGCTCTTTGTCTTGTTGCGACTCGACTCGTCGGTTGCTTGACTTGGTTGTTTCGATTGGGTCAGGCAAGAATTTCCGGGGTGGACGAAGTCCAGTCTGCCTGGCCTGGACTCCCTCCTGGTCTGTTGTATTGGACACGGCCGTCTGTTGGGCCTTGGAGCTTCGCGACGACACTTCAATCGGCTGGGGAACAAACCGGCGGGGGCGTGCCGGGGCCACGGCGGTCGGGGCTCGGCATTCCGGCCGGTGGAGGCCAGGCCAAGCGGTAGTTAGGTTGGAGGGAGAATTTCGATTGCCGGAGGCATCTGGTTGACACCTGCAGGGAGATGGTGATCCATCCGAGAGGATCTCTGGGAGGGGCGGGCGGGACTCGTCGGGGTGGCCCATGTTCAGACGGAGCCAACGACCATGCTTAATGAAGATCTGGGAGGAGGGAGTCAACCAGTCAACCGGATTATCATCATCACCGTGGTCATCATGGTTGTGGGGGAGTAGGAGTGAGCGAGCAAGCGACACAGAAAAGAAAGAAGGGAAGAAAGAAAGATGTGGACAAAGCGGTGTGGATGAATGACATCAGGTCATCTTGATAAGTTGAGTTAGGACGTGGCTTGGTTTAGTCAACCTCTTGACAAACATGCCTCAAAAACACAAGCTCGACGACCAGCTCTCTCCAAGCCCCAAGAGAAGGGTCCTTGGCCCATCCTTGCCTCCTCCATCTCGTTCGAGCACTGGTTCGGCAAGCGACAGCGACAGCGACGACGATTTCGGCCCAAGCCTGCCGCCGCCGGAGGGTGACCTCGCTCCCGTGGAGCAACACCATCAGCCAGACTCGTCGACCGTCGAAACTGGCCAGAAGAAAACAGAACAGAGGGACCAATGGATGCTGCACCCGCCAGAGAAGAGCGACTGGGCGGCCAAAATCGACCCAACCCAATTGCGGAATCGCAAATTTCAAACGGGGAGATCGGCTCGGAGCGGTGGCCCGCAGGCCGTCGACGCCTCATGGGTGGAGAATCCGGAGGAACGCATGAAGCGGCTACAGAATGAGGTGATGGGCGTGGCTGCGGCGCCGGCAGACCGACAGCCCGCGCCGTCCAAGACCTCCCAGTCTATGGAGGAGAAGATCAAGAAGTACAAGGTAAGCTCTCTTCCTTCCTGTGGGGAGTGTAGGACCTAACTTTTGTTTCCAGGACATGACCGACAAGACGTCGCGGTTGGACAGTAGCGCCACACAGACTCGTAAGGAGGATGATGATGATCCCAGCATGCGGGCCTTCGATCGGGAGAAGGATATGGCTGTCGGATCCCGGATATCCACCGCCCAGCGGCGGGAGATGGTGAATAAGGCCGGTGGCTACACCTCTCGGTTCACCAAGGGGAGTTTTCTGTGACTCTCGACCAGTGCTTCAACCCTCATAATCTTTAATCACAAAAGACTTCGTGTGTTCTTCTGTGTCAAGCGGGCTCGCTCTCACATGGCATGTCCGAAATAGCATACTCGATAGATATATATAACTCGATTAAGATCCCTTTGGTTCTAGCGGGGTTAAAGACAGTACAAACCACGCTTTTCCCATGGAATAGTGGTAGTAGTAGTGTTCATTTGCCCAGTTTAGCTTGCCCTTTAAGTACGGCTACTATGCGGGGATATAGTCGGACTCGCCTGATAGCGACAGTTGTGCATAATACCTAGGTGCCCTATATATAAAGAGCCCAGCCGGGTTCTCTATAGTAAATAGACAATAGACTATTAATATGAATATGGTGTAGATAAACCAAAAGAAAATCAAGAACAAAAAGAACGATAGAAGTCATACTAATGGTAAAATAGTAAGCAAAGGAAAGTTAGATCTCCGCCCCATTAGTGTAGCCACCGCTATTACGCACTATATTGAACTCCGTTGAGATCTAATACGCCAACTACGATAGCAACCTCTACCCTCTATGCATTCTCCTTCCCTCCTCGGGCTTTCGTAAGTCACTGTTAGGACCACAGTACAACTTCGCCGTCATTACATGCCTCTGGATATCGCATGCTACCCCTGATTCATCTAATGTACCTACTACACTCGACCACACAACATAGTGCAAGCCCTATAGGGGTTCATAAGGGTCCGTGGGCAGAAGGGAGTATTAGCGGTGCCCCTCAGCTAGACTTCCAGAGTCTAGTGATCAAAGTAGTATGGATTCGGTCGCTACGCTTCCTCTGAACTCCGAACCTTCTGTACGTTTCACTGCCATATCCCGAAACATCCGGCTAATGAGATTAAGGCCCAATAGGCACTAGAGGCTTAAATCACTAAGCTCGATAATTTCCCATCTTCCTTAAATCACTAAATTCCTAGACGACTAGGTTCGCCTAGGGCCATCCATAGGTGTCCACGCATGTGGCCGCATAGGTACCTGTTACTACATATCTAGACTACAAACACTATAAACATGCTAATCCCTATGTCACACATACAGGTGACTATAGATTATGCACCTTTGACTGTATTTCTCAAGGTCCATATGTAAGAGTCTACATAACCCACTATCTCGAAACGTCTACGTTTCACTTATTTTGTCTGAATAATTATTAAAATTTCTTTATCTGTATATTTACATAATAGCTTGTCCAACTCAAATCACTATGCCATCCTTGATTTCGAGTTTAAAGGCTTGCTTACTTGATTAAACATAGTAAGTACCCCCTCTATTAGAGAGGTACTCCTTAGTTATATCCAATTAACGTATTTTAAACTTGGACTGTATTAAGAACGTATAGACTTTTAATCGTATCTAGCTTTAGTTACTCCGGAGGACAGTAGTAAATATTACAACCACATTTAAAGAGACTCTTGATCCTAATGCAAGGAACTACTTGTTAGGCTAATCTACCTATCAGCTAGGTAAAGAATAATATCCTGAAAGGGTACTAATATAGGAGTTATTTAGTTTGGGGTAAAGAAATACTAGCTCATAGGAGAATCCATATGTGACTATGGTTCGTTCGCACTTATAAAGCTAAATAGGGTATATATACACAAGCCAACACGTGATGGCACGCGATATTGATCCAAATAGCCTCATAGTTTATAGATGGACCGTAATCGAGATGACAATAATAGTATGGTATGGTATCTTATAGTCTAATTTACGCCCTCTTTTAGATAACGTATTCGGTAAGCGAGTGGGTCAGGTCAAAACACCATAGTAAATGCGATATTTCACATCTCAATATCTCAACAACCCCAGGTTAATATCTTTTGATTATTAGTATATCATTGTTTGCAAGCATAAGAAATAGTATAGACTGACTTGGATCGGGATTAAAAAATCATTTTACTACGTTACCAAAAATTACCCTCCAATCGAATGCCAGGTATATATATCTCAACTATTAGATCTCAAAATTCCCTAAACTCTATAAATAGTCCACCTATGCCCCGAATGGTATCAGGATATAATTAAACCGTATATTATGTTATTGTTGAGATATTGAGATATGAAATATCGCGTTTACTATGGTGTTTTGACCTGACCCACTCGCTTACCGAATACGTTAGAGCCTCTAGCTCTGTACTAATATGTTAACACTAACCTCTTATACAACGGAAATTATATCTATATAGCTGTCTAAGGCTTTATCGCATTAGAGGTAGTAAGTACTTAGGAGCCTAATTCGCTATCAATATACCAATAGATCATTCCAACCTTGATTATAAGTTAATTAAAGCCTAGTTAATAGTCATTAGGCCTATGAGCTATATACCATACCTTTATTTCATTATTATTAGGCATTAGAGTGGGAAGACTATTAGTACCTAGCTAATAGCCCCTACAAAGGATAGGATCCGGTTAGGACGCTCTCAGTACAGAAGAACTATTTAGAACTATTTCGCTAGCAGGTTATAACCATTTTAGCGCTATCCATTAAGGATTTATATATCGATAACTCCTTTTTAAGCCCAATAAGACGTACATAAGCTTAAGCCTAACCTTTATAGCGTAGACCTTTATCTAGAACTAGACAACTAGTCTATATATATATCACGAGCTAAATTATAACTGCTAGTCCGCTATTCGTTATTATAAACCATTTATACTAAAGAGAAGCTGTATGTAGATGGATAATATAAAATTAGACCGTTCAATAATTATTTTATACCTACAAGGAAAGGACCCAGGAACCTAGAAGCGAAGGAAAGCTATTATGGTAAAGATAAAGAATACAAAAGGCGTACTATTCATTTTACTAGGTATAGGTTTTTTATAGGGACCAGATTCTGTATCCCTTTCGGTATATTACATACTTAACTTTGAACTATACCATAATTACCAACTTACAGGGTAATTAGATTATAACGCCCTAGCTTGCTAAATTAATATTCATAATGTATAATCTATTTCATATTTTACTATAGATTGACTTAAACAAAAATGTGATAATATAGGGAAGGAACTCCTGGCACCTAACCTTTTTGTACATAATAAATAGGAAGTGGAAGAACTTAAAGATACAAGCTTCTTAGCGATTACTACTACACAATAAAGTAAAAAGAGTAGACTTTGAATATAATCAATAAGTGATAGAACTAGCCCTGATATATAAAATTCCAAAGTAATTATAAAATATACGAAGTAAGCTAAAAAAAAAGCTTCATTAATTTAATTTTTATAGAAACATAGCTAGATAATTTAGATATAGATTAAGATAATATTAGTATTTCTATACAGAAATTCTGATATAATGTTATTTAGAAGTTTCAATAATTATGAGAAGTATACGTGGGGAAAGGGCGTCAGACGTCTAGAGTACCTCAATAAACCTAGACCAGCTATATAAACTATTGGAATTACCTATATCTAATTATATACATCTAAAATACCGTTTTCACTATTATAGGCCGGGGCTATCTAGCGCTACTAAGTTATAGATAGGGGATTGTAGTTTTATATCACTTTATTGTAGTAGGATAATCTTGATACATAATTAAGTATAAAGTCACTAATGCTTATTCTTAGCTTTTAATAGTAGTATATTATATGATTAGAGTATTCTAAATAGAATTAATATTGATAAAGCTATCATAGTATAAGGACGTTTTCTTATTTTTAGGTAAGGTTATAATGATTAGAATTTTAATCTGACCTATCCTAGGGTTAGTAGTATAGGTAGATACCTATAACTAATGTCTATGCGTAGTTCTAGTGCGTTAATGGTATAAGAGCTTACTGATATTTGCCTTAGTATTAGGCAGTATTAGATAATATTATAGCGAGAGTAAGAAAATAAAAGGAGAATAAAGTAGGTATACCGATTTAGGTATAAAAGAGTTCAGAAGTTATAGAAGAAAATGAAACTAATGGTAATGTAATACTTCCCTTCTTATATCCCTCTTTATTTATCCTAGATTATAGCGCTATATATATCAAGTGTAGTACTAAAGCACTAGTTTTTATTCATCTCTATGCTATTAGTTAGATCCTTTAAGTATATCTAATGTATTTAATCTATCAAATTCTATCATTTTCTTGACCTATTGATATGACTATTTATACGAATTACGGTCACTGTAAGAGGGGGGCAAAATTATTATTAGACCTATGGCTAAAGCTAATTGGAATTAATATTATATGCTTATCGTGTGCTAGATGCGTATGAAAAATTTCAGTTTTATGAGTATAAAGTAACAATAGATCCTAATTCTAGTAAGAATTATTATATATTTATTTTGTACTAAAAAACACTTTTATCTTAGTACCTTTTCACTACTACATTAACATCCTTTGATAACATTTTTCTTCGCCTAACTAATACGTGTTTCCTCTGATAGGTGATTTATGTAGCATATATCTCTATATGATTAATAACTCTAAATCCGATCGTAGAGCATCGTCTATAGTATATCAAACACCCGTGTAGCTTCGCGTATAGTGGAAATTTCAATAGTTTGGTAGGCGTTAAAAGCTAGACCCTCCCCACTCAAACTAATAAGGATTTAGGGGATTTTAACTGCGAATAGGATATGTGATAGTGAATAATCAAAATAAAATAGTTTAGGCGTTAGGAAGGTGGGTCGCTTCTGGATTTATTATTACCCTTATTGCATTAGTAGAGTAACCTATCTAAAAATTTACTCTAGTAGAATACGCTCATAATATTACTATTAACTCCACTATAATTAATACCACTTTATAATCCTTTAGGTTATTTACTAGGATTTTAGCTCTGAGAAAAAGGTTAATCTATATAAAGAGGTCTTACCTAAGGTACACTAATAGCGACTAAATCTACTAAGTACCATGGTTATAGTCTAGATTATATAACATCCAGCTACTTCACCTACCTATATCCAAATCCAGATATCTAAGCCTGTAGTAATTCTTTTTAACTCTAGGGCTCTTT